AATGATTTTCAATCTTGAATACCACGTGCAGAAATTCGAATCAACTCCCCCCGCTGCAGTTGCCTCCTTTTTCCCCAACCCAAGCCAATCAGATAAATGGAAAATCTGTGGGAAATCTGTGAGGCAGCTGCCACACTATCGATTACCACATGAAGTGGCGGCACACAAGAACGTATTCAGGCATCAATTAGAGACTTCCTGTTGTGCCATTTGGCCAAGGGGAACTTCATTAAACGCGTTTATTTCCAGCCAGGCAGACATTCACATTCGAACATCAAATATCTGTCTGTCATTCAAGTTGGCTTATTCGGCATCTGCCGACAGCATTAAGACGATTTGGTATACCTAGCCTTAAGTGCGAAAGCTCTCAGGGAAATGTACTTTTTATGCCAGCCAGAGGCGTGGTCAAAAGGGGAAGTCCTAACCAAAATTAAGAAAAATATTTTATATTAGAAAATAATAATAAATAACTAATATTTTACAACTAACATGGAGTTTTACTTGATATTATTCATTTTTAAACAAGATTTTGCTTTGAATTAATAAGATGATATAAAAATTAATAAATTCTATAAGAAAGAATAACAAATTACTAAAATAAGATGATACATTTTACAATAAGCATGGAACATTGTTTTATATTATATATTCTTCTTAGAATTCAGGAGATGAGACAATACGAGACCCTGCCAAATCCCTAGACTTAACCCCTCCTTAACTTCTTGATACATCGGGGGCGCCAAATCCCCTTGCAATTGCCAAAGGGAACACATGTTTCATAACACTTAAAATCCCCGATTCACGGTTTCGAGGACTGCGACGATCGCGTGAACAAGTAAATGCCAGGCAATAATTTTTTTATTGCCAGCCAATGCCAAAAACATTTCGCATCGAGTGTAAGTACATATTGAAATAATGTTATTCCCCTTTATTCGGGGGTGTGGGTGTGGGTGTCTGTCTGATAAGCAGCCAAAGTCCTTGTTATTGTAGCCGTTAAATCCGCCCACACACACACATACACTCCACCGCCCCCGTGAATGGATGGGGGCGTGGCATGTTTGCCGAACTCTCGATATTTATGCCCTTGGTATCGCTTTAATCAGACTCTTTGATTTTACAACACCATTATGCACTTTTAGTGTGATTGATTGGAGGGCCTGCAAAATGGCAAATGCATTGCCATTTGGCCTAAATGAGGATTGCGAATTCAAATTCGATTGGGGAATAAAACAAAGTACATAAAAGGTTAACGAGTAGCAATAAAACCCAAAAGCAGAAATAGAGAAATTTAATTATATTTGCTGTGGCATTTGGGGGAGAAATCTGATGGAAATGGCTAAAACCAAAACTAGGTATCAATTGAAAAGATTGGAAAACAAAAGTTTTACGCTCACTTTTGTTCGTTGGGCTTTCATATTGACAAACACTTTTAAAGTTTTGACAATAATGCAATTTTTAAGCCATAAAACTCATTCATTTATTTACCCTTTGGGTAAAATGGGTGAACAATTGGTTCAATTTAACCAATTGCAGTTCCTGTGGCTTTAACCAAAAATTGAAATTGCAACCGTGTGGTAGCGGCCGAAAACTTATTGCGGCGAGTGTTTCGAATTGCTGCCAATTTGATCTAAATAAAAGCAGAAAAGTTTGTGCCTAACACTTTTGGTCTGGAAACTTTACGGCAGTTATCAGTTGCAGTCCTGCTTACATTGTTCTCGATCGAAGTCACGAGAACTTTTTGCAACCATTTGCCATTAGCAGACATGCAGCTTTCTACACTGAGAAAATGGAAAGCTAAATTGTCAAAACAAATTTGAGAAGGGTAGGTTTTCGATGCCTTTGATAATCATTGAATTTAACACATTTTACAAATGTGGATAGCTGCGGCTCAGAACAAAATATATATATAGCGTTTTTAAAGTGACAACAAAAAAAATTTAGAACTAACTTGGAAACATCTACTATTTAATAAGTTTTAGAATGACAAGTATGAAAAAGTACGTATAGGTCTTTTCTTAAAGTGAATTTTTTTGAGTTTTACACACTTTTAATACTATTTTTGAGGTTTAAGGGTATTATTTTAAGCATATCACATTACCCCATTAAATAAACTGCACCATTTTTGGCAAAGATTTTGTTTAATGATACACAATATCTATGCATTTTTAATTTTTGGCTATTTTAATCAACGATGGGCTCGTATTTTGTTGTATATAAGCAGCTGTGATTTTTTCCATCAAGTTTTTTAGCCAGAATTGAAAACTTTTTCTTTAGTCATAATTTTTTTCAGTGCCACAACAAGTAAAAAAGGGACAAGTTGTTAAATAAAAGTTTCTCACTTGCTTGCAGAACGATTCCTGGCATCCGGAGCAGAGACTATGAGTGTTCTAAATGCGGAGCAGTGAACCTCATGCATAATGCAGATGGTCGGACATGCAACCATCTCGGTGAAGAGATTACAGTCGGTCTCAGTTTGCCGAGATACGTATTTGAGATATGCGGGGCATTCCTCATTCATTCACTTATTCACTCATTCAGTCATTCGTTCATTCATGCCCCATCCTGCCACTCGAACCAGCTCCGCCGCAGAAGTAGAAGTCCTGGCCACAGGAGCTGCGTTTGTTTACTGTCCAGCCTCTCAGCCCGGCAGGGTAATTAGGCAGAGTCGTGTGGGATTGTGCTCTGCTAACGACCCGCCTGAATAATTCATTAGCCGTAGGACCTCCGTCCCCCTATGCAGCATCCACTATCCACTCACACACATCCTGGTCTCGCTGGGCATCTGTCTGTGCTTTCAAAAACCCACCGCAAACATAACCCAAATGCAAACAAGAACATCCGCTGGCTAGTTGATATTTCACAGAGTGTATACTTTGTCCCAGATTGAGGAAAGCCACTTAGATATTCCCGCACATGCTATATATTTACCCCATATTTTTCCACTTCATTAGTTCTAAAAGATAACCGGTTTTTAGGAATCCTTGCAAGTGTTTGTAACTGCTATTTGAGTAGCAAAATGTCTTTTGCAATGCTTTCCATTTCCTCGGTTTTTGCCGCCTTCAACTCTTCGCTTTTAATCGAATTAAATGTATTTATAAACTTTACGACCCATTCTATACACTTTGGCACAGACATCTGTATAACATAAGATCCGAAGATTATAAATGAGAATGGGCAACAAAGTCATGGAAATTTTGCTTGGCATTTATTGGCCAAATTTAGTTGGTAATTTGTGTACATATATTAAGTATATTTATGTTGTGCACCTGTCCAATTTTGGTCGGGGAATGGCCGAAACATTAAAGGGTCGCTTTATTGTCGGCACGTTTTTCATATTTCTGCAATCCATTACCAAGAGATGGCCATCCGTCACGGTCTCACAGCCTCCGGCGGACTTCAAAAGTTCTCCGGCTGGCCATTTAAAGGAGAAACTTATGCGTAACGATTTTCTTGTGCTTCTAAGCAGCTTATATCGAAGATGCTATGCTCTTGAAATTATTTGTGTAAGTTTATGCAACACAAATGAAACTCAAGCGCAATTTAAATAAATATCAAATCAGCAAGAGTAAGTTATTTAACAAGCTGCTACCAAAAGTGGCAAACATTTCAAGGATTTATGATACAAAATGCACTTTAATGGTTTATAATTCCATTTTATTAGAACTGACTGAAGTGACACCATTGAAAATACACATTTTAAAATATAAATAGGAATAAATAAGACGTTCTTTCCTGTCCGATACACACACACATAAGTTCTTAGAACGAAAAACCCTCTGAAAATATGATTTCTTGCTACTTAATATGCAATTATCTTGTTCTTTTCCCCATAAATTTCCGTAGAGTATCAGAACTGTCAGAAATGTTGCACTGCTAACCAAGTAACAAGAGTTGTTCCCCTCCAAAAAAAAATATCATATACTTTATATTACCTCCTCGAAGAGCGGAACTTTTTGGGGGCTGCTAGGAGGTCGGGATTTGTGCGCTGACAGGAAGCAACTTTTGGCTGACTCATGGCACTCTTGATTTACTGCTCACCGTGGTACGGAAAATATGTACTATGCAGGTAAGTGTTTTTTCCCCAGACTGCAGCTCGACAAATGAAATTTTGGCCCAAAACACTGGGAAAATGTGCTGCCAGATGATGGCCTTTATGACCGAGGGGGATTGGAAGTGGGGAATGCTCAAGTTCGCATTGCTTTTACTGCACGTTTTATAAAATTCATGCAGGTTTGCTCCGATTTCGCTCCCACTAATGGGCTGCTCTTTGTCCGGACAAGAAAAGGGATGATTCCTTCATCAAAATTCTCTGTGATTCGGTAAGCAATTTTCGTTCCTGCACAATCGCAATCAAGCGATGAGCTTGCAATCCACTTGACTCTCTTTTCCCCACTAAAAGGATGTGGAATATGGAAGCATTCCTTTGTGATATTGATAAATGTAGTTGCTGTTTGCTGGCTGAATGTGAGGAAACATCCCAATGGATGTTGTTAGACTTGTATGTGGTCTAAGAAGTAACTTTTAAGCATGTGTAGCTGTTGAAAATCTCGGGAGATTAGGAGAAACATGCCTTATATTTGTGAGTCCTTGGTCTGAAATTATATTTTTCAGTTGATTGGTAGGATAAACACATATTTCCTAATTTCCTATTGAACTCAAGCCTAATAGCTTAAATAGTTTTACAAATGTATAAATATGTTTTAATGCTCAGATTACTCAGATAGGTTATTATAATATCGAATCAAACAATAGATGCAATGATCTGTAATAAATTGAATGAATTAGATATTTATTTAGAATACTCTTGTTTATCACCATTTTTTATTTTCCAAATGATTTAAGATTCAAGATTATTCAGGATTACACAAAAATATGATTTGAATGGAATTGATTTAATAGATCTCAGAAAGATTTCCACCCGTATATTGCCCGAAGATATTTCCCCGACTACAGTAGACCTTCCCCCTACCATTACATTCAATAACCCCTCAGTTACTCACCCTATCTCAGTTTAATCGTCTCCCGAGCTCTCCCCCGCCGCCTGCTCCGATTCCCTCGCCCAGCTCGACCCTCACATCCGAGTCCTGGCAGTGACTCGTGCTCGTCTCCAGGATGCTGATCCCAGTGGTGTTGTCCGTGCTCACGAATGGCGTCTCGCTGAAGCGCACTTCCACGGTCTGCTCGTCGCCGGAGTCCAGGTAATCCCCGTCCGTCTCGTCCGTCCGCCGGCGGATCCGCCTCGTCAGCTCCACCTGCTGATGGTGCGACGGCGGGAGCTGGTGCATCTGATGGTCACCGCCGTGGACCAGGGCCGCATTGATGCCCCGTCCACTGAGAATGGGCGACATTGCACCGGTGCCATTGCCGTAGGTCGGCTCCCTGGGAATGATTAGCAGCTTCTCCTTGGGCAGACACGTCTCCTGGGTGATACCGTTCTCGTCCTGGTCGTCGACATCCAGGCTGCCCAGCCCGCCATCCCCCTTGCCATGATGCAGACGCGGGCCACAGGTGTTCCGGTCACTCCGGTTGTAGCCCCTGGTGATGTTGATGATGTTGTTGTTCGAGGGATTGAAGCAGGGCAGCACGTGCTTGAACTCCTTGCGAAAGTTCTCGTTCAGCCAGGCGTACAGGAAGGGATTGTAGCAGGTGGAGCTCATGGCGATCGAGTGGGCCACGAAGAAGAACAGGATGTAGAAGCGCCACTCGTTGGACTTGTCATCAAAGTCATCGAATATGTTGACCACGTTGATGGGCAGCCAGCTGAGTCCAAAGACGGCCACCATAGCGATGAGCATGCGATTGGTGCGCTTCTTGCGATCCCGATCCGCCTCCTCCCTCCTTGAGGACTTCGATCCCGGCTTGGCCCTGGCCCGCTGGTTCAGCTTCACTGAGATCCACACATAGCAAATGGAGATGATGAAGAAGGGCAGCACGAACTGCAGCGTGGTGGTGATGGCCCCAAACACCTTTCTGTACTGCTCCGACGGCCAGTTCTCCTCGCAGTACACCCGCACATAGGGAAACTCCGGACCCGCCGATCCAGCCGTCATCACCTGCATGTAGGCCTGGGCCGCCGAGGTGGCATCCGGCGGCTCGATGAAGCCCGATCCCGATCCCTGGGCCACATAGCTGCCGTTCAGCATCAGAGTGGCCTCCACCAGGGTCTCGTTCGCTGCCTGCGTCCCGTTGACAAGCTCATTGGTCATCTTCATGTACATGCCGTAGGGCACGGTGGCCAGCAGGGCTATCACCCAGATGCTCACTATGATCCCAATGCAGGTGGAGAGCTTCATGCGCGGATGGAAGGGGTAGATGATCACGAAGTACCGATCGATTGCGATCGAGGTGAGCGTCAGCGTGGATATGTAGATGCTGCAGCCCTGGGCGAAGGACACCAGGTGGCAGAGGCTCCTTCCGAAGGCCCAACGACCCATGAACGTGTAGAGTGGGGTGAATGGCACAGCCAGGACGCACAGCAGGATGTCCGAAAGGGCCAGATTCGTGATAAATATATTCGTTACCGTCTGCATGGCTCGATTCCTCAGGACCACATAGCAAACCAGGACATTACCAAAGACTCCCAAAACGAAGACGGTGGCGTACAGGACGTAGAAGAAGATCTGCACGAACTGGTTGTGGATGATACCGCCACTCCTGTCATCGTCGTCGGCCAGCACAACGCTCGTGGTCACCGGCGAGGTCAGTGTCCAGTTGGTGGTGGTGCTGACCAACGGCAACGGCGTCGTGGTGATGGTGGCCATGGTGGTGCTCATCCAGCTCAAGTTGGCCATCTTTACGGCTCGGCGGCTAATGAGTTGAGTGGTGGTTGTGTGCTCGACTTGCTGCCGGTGGTTCCGGTTCGGATGCGCACCACTTAAGCAGCCATTTCCGTCGCCGGCGGAATTGAGCTCCTTACTCGATGGCCAGGCCAAAAACCCCTTGGCCGCTCAGAAAGCCTCCTGTGATATTCTGCTCATCGTAAATGGACTGAGCTGAGTTGAGTCCTGAAAGCAAACCGAAATGGAGAGGGTTTTAGTTGAAATGGATTAAGGGAAATTAAACAAAGACTTACAAAAAGATTTTACCCGTTTCCCCCAAAAGAAATGCCAAACTGTAATGGTCTTAAATTGGTTACTTTATATACAAAGCCTTTTTCAAAAAGTATTACAGTTGCATCATTAAGCATTTTAAATTGATGCTGAAGTTCATAGAAATCGATGATAATAAAAGCCTCATGGTCATGTAACATCATCGTAAGAATCCCCATAAAATTGACTACTAAAACTCAACTTATTTCCAACTTTCCTGCAGGGAATTCGTCTTAAACGGACTTAAAAACTAAGTTTTCTGCCGGTACCCTCTATTCCCATCCCCCCATCGACATCGTGTTCCCACCCCAAAAACTTGGTTTTTACTTCTTGTGTTCTGCCTTTTGTTTGTTGTCTGCTTTTTGGCCAAAAGGGATTAAGATGTTGCCCTGGCTGGCTTTTATTTTTAGTTCCTGTCAGACACGCTTCCCCGGCTTCAAGCTTCAGAAACTGGGTTCCTAGCCCTCCCTTTCCGATTCCGAGAGGCATCGAGTTTATTAAAAACAATGACAATGTGACAGTTACTGTCTCTAACTGGGCTTCTAGATGAAAATCTCCAAAAACTTTGATACCCAAAGCTCTTCGGACAGCTTTGAGCCAGAGCTGAGTTGTATACTAAAGCCGAGGAAATTTCCGATCTGTGCACAGAAAATTATTTCAATGGTTAAAACGGAAAAATGAAGCATCATAAGGGTTTTAAAACCACTTATGAAAGTGTCTAAAAGTATGCAATGCTAGTAAGAACATCATCACTTCAGGACTAACAGAAAATTGTAGCATTATTTTAGGCACAAATGATTTTGAAACTATAGCGCTTTCTGAGTAACCTTCGCTTAATTGTTTTGAGCCTATAATGCTCCTTAAAGCTTTCCGAACCGCAATGCTAAGTTAGGGCTGCATGTATGCCCCTGTGGAGACTTATTAAGCCCCGATCCTGGACAGACGGTGAAAATGACTCCTCGTTACGAAATGGCCATTACCAAAGAAGTCCATTGTCCATAAGGGCTTGCAATTAGGCACTGCAACCAATCGGAACAATTGTTAATTGCCTGATACTAGTGGACCAAAACAATGGGTAATCCCTCTATTGTGCCGACCCTGGGCATCATTTAATCTCATGCAATGGGAGGAAGTTCAGGGCATTTTATTGCTTCCCCTGAAGGTCGAAAGTTTTGGCAGCCAACCGAATAACCAACCAGAAACCAACGATGCAAATATGCCGATGGCTGGATGGCTTCTGATCACGTACAGCAACTAAATGCAAATTTAATTGGATTCTCCTGACAAGGGACCGGGAAAGTTTAGTCAAATATGCAGGTGCATGTTTGTAAAACTGTGGAACATTCGGTTCAAAGCCGGATAATGCAACGCCCCAAAATCACAGACTTTGGGGGAGTAGTTCGGGGTAGCTTTACAAGGTAGCAAATTGAATTCCTGCGTTTAATGAACACATGCTGAACACCTCGGGTCACGGAGAACAAGGTTAATATAGTCAAGTCGAGAGGGCGAATACTTTGCAGATGGCATAACTTAATTAGAAGCTGAGACCATTGTGTCATTACATGAATGCAAAAGTTTGTGCAATATGCCTCAGAGATTCTTTTGAGAACTGGGCAAATTAGCGCTTGTCGGTGCTAACTTCTTATAAGAAAGTTAGCCAAACTAACAGCAAATGTGCTATGAGCAAAATTTCATTTACACACAACATACCACTTTTCTAATATTAACTTAGTAACTAAAATAATGAAGATATTTTATATGTGGAAATGGTAAGAAATATTTAAAGTAATATGAGTCTTATTTATTATCACTATTTAGAAATATAGAAAACAATTTATCGAATGGAAGAAAGATTGGGTAAATTGTTAGAAATTACTCAAAATGTTACAGAAAGTATGCCAGAGGCCGGGGGCTTAGCAATCCGGTTAACAGGAAGAATGTCAAAGGAATTTAACGCCGCGGGGCCAAGAGCAAAAATATAATCATTTTGATAAATTAATAGAGCTTTCGGCCAGGGATGCCGGATATTGTGTAAAGGGAGAGCAACATCGTGCGAAACAAGAAAAATTGCCAGTTAACAATTTTTTGTTTGGCCCGTCTTTTTATGAACGCATTTATCCATCGCTTGGCAGGCCGGAGCCGTAAACTCCATCAAAATCCAAACCAGCACCCGGCATTGGCAAGCCCCGAGTGTCGCCGACATCATCATCGCCATCATTCAGGATTCTGGCTCCTGGTCGGTGGCTCCAGGTTCCTGCTCCTCTTTCTCGACTCCATTGTCCTTCTGCAAGGCTCACGCGCCGCACTCCCATTATCATTACTAACAAGCAGCACAAAGCAGCTTGAGTGTGTCATCCTGCCGGCTACCATCCCATCCCATCCTCGTAAACCCCTGATCTGCGGCACTTCGTAATTTTAATTTTGATGCATTTGTCACCATTTTTTGCTCTCTTTTATGGCCAACACTAGGGAAAATGATACTTCTAAAGCTTCGTATTAATCAGAAAATAAATTATATCTATTTGTGGCATGTCATTTTCGCATTCTCAGGATAAGAAAACAATCTAAGAATTAACAAAATGTATTTGGCTTTAAATATTACTGACAAGTTTAATATATTTATTACCTTTTTATCTAAACCATAATACAAATTTAAATTTTGGAATATTAAGAGATGGTTTTTATGGATCTAAGAGTTATTAAAATACTAAATATATATACTAAAAAAAATTCCTAAGTACACGATATTATAAGACATGAATATTATAATATTTTTATTTTAGAAAAGAACACCATGTTTATTATCACTGATTGATATATTTATATTTATTTTATTACATTTTTTTAATAATAATTTTTTTATTACTCATAACATACATAATGAAACAGGGCGATATGGCCAGGGCGACAACAAACGCTTACTTTAATGGGATTTTATTTTGTCCCCCGCAATACCAAGAGCAACAACAGCCCATCCACGACAAACTGCTCGGCTCCTCCCTATAAGTGCTAGTATATGGCCTACTTATAGGCGCTTGGGGAATTTTATGGCAACAAGGTGAATGCAACGTCCAGAGGGCAAGAACCATTAATGAATTTCACATCGCTTCGGGCTTAAAGATGCAGTTAAAGCGTATCTCAATGGACTGTCAGGGAGTTTATGGGTGCGCAGGATAGTCAAACACAGTGCTAAAAAAAAAAGAGGGAATAAAAAGGACAACCTCTTGGTCCTTTTATTCGCATTCGCCCAAAGCCTTTTTGATTTCCCATTTACCAGGGCTATGGGCCAGGCAGAATTAAATAAAAAACAAATGGAATGTGTTGTGGGTGACTAAAGAAGACAGGTTTTCTGAGAAAATTCCTGTGCGATTTACCAAACTATATGAATTTAATTTAATTGTATTTAGTTTTTCGATTAATTAAATTAAATCTAATTGACTGCTAAACCCTTTTTTTAATCTGGAATGGAATTTTTCACCAGAGTTAAATGATAACCTTTGATCGGATATACAATCTAACAAAAGTTTAGACAAAAAGTAAATAAACCTGAAATAATAGCCAGATAATCGAAAAACATTTAAATGTCATTTGCATAATTGCAAGCAAACGCCTATCAGGATAGCAATTGTATAGCAATGGAGATGGAATGGGATTGCAATTGAAAACAGCGATGACATTGCATTTGGTTTAATTCACAAATTATTAAGTACTTTAAGTTATGAGTAAGGCCTTTAAGTACATTAAAATTTGGGTTATAGCATCGATCTAACCCAGCATTTGACTTTATTTGCAGGTAACTATAGCGTGCTCTGATAGAGAAAATATATTTATTTTCCACAGCCGCAGCCGCGAATAAAGTTGGTTAAGCTGTTTTGCGTGCCGGCAGTCGACATTAAGTACTCTTTTAGCATTTTCGGGCTGGGAAAAGTTCCGGAAAACCGTCGGAAAACCTAGAATGGAATGGAAACTATGCCATTAGCAGGGCTCAAGATTTCCATCCACTAATGATGTGGTCGGAGTGGCCAGTGATCAATGCCGCAGAGCTCCTCAACCAGCTTTTTCCACTAATTAACATGGCTATTTTTATGATAATCAATTACAAAGTTCGCGCACAACTTGGACTTCAGTTTCGCTTCAAAAAAAAAAAAGGCGGGAGGAGAAGAAAGTTTTATTCGCCGCCGGGGAAATTACTCAGCAGATTAGGAGATCCGACAGATGAACGGACACAATCCAGTCCGTTGGGGCCGCGATGGGAACATGTGTTCAATGTCTGTGTCAGTGTCATGGATCGATTGATGACGCGGAATTTAATTAAAATTTTCTACGAGATTTTCCCCATTTTTTTTGCGCTATTTTTCCGTTGCCATAGCTGGCACTTTAAATTTTTGCCTCACTCGTAAGCAGCCACTTTGCATATCGCTGAAATGTCGGGTTGAGAATTATTCATACGCATATGACTCTCTGGCAAAGAAATATATTCATTCGACTGAGTGCTGCGGCAGACTAATTTATTTGTTGATTTATATGCCCGGCAACTAATTAGAGAGTTATTTCCATTTAGGCTCACAATGCACTCGAATCGAGGGCATGTCGTCCAGTAACTGACTCACTCGCGACGAGTATTTGCCACATTTACGATGGACACATAAATATCGAACGAATGTATGCGCACAAACCGAATCGCATATATCAAAATCCACATATATTTGCATCGAAGTAATGGTCATAAATGGGCAAAAATAAAATAAAGCTTATTGAGCGAGGAAATTTAAATACTCTTTAGCTTGTGATTTATTATGGCGCTTTAACTTTTTGTTGCCCATAAATTGTTGTTATAAGATAGAATACATTTTTCCATTCAACTGATAATCTGATCTGATTTGAATATAGTAGTAACAAAGTACACATAGTTCAAA